CTGAAGGAATTATACAAATTTGAAAATCAGTTTCATAAAATCTTATTGCTAAATCGTGGTCAATAGCTTCCAAGATTCTGGTTCCCGCAGATTGTTGTGGAAGCTTGCAAGCTTTGTTGAAATCGTGTGTACGTGGTGCAAGGTGGATGCCTCGTGTCTTAGTATTTACACGTTCTTCTTTTGTTTTGTTTTTCATTAGACAGCCTGTGATCACTGAGGGGCACTGCCTTTTTAGCCAACCAAAATAATTGAAACTGATGACCATAATTTGGCAGCACACAATAGTAATTTAGTCACACCAATTTCTGGCATTATAGGTATAATCGTCCAAGTGTGAGCAGCCTGAAGAAAGCTATTATAGTTGTATTTGAAATCAAATTCATAGTTAATAATATAGGTTACCTGCAATGGATACTTGATGAAAGTGCATACCATCATGTATGTGTTGTGGTATCACTGAATTTGCTGTAAATACACTATGCACGAGCGCAATTTAAGCATGGTTTTAACACGTCTGCAATGTGAAAATTGCATTTTCTTTCATAAGGTTGCAACTAAGTTTGCCAAAAACATCAAAAAAGTTTTGCTTGTAACATCTCTGGTTTGTATACATCCTGCTTGTTTTAAGACACATTGTTGCAAATAATTTTAAAAATACTGACAAATTCAGTTTTTTCTAAGAGACACATGTCACTAAATTGTTTTTCTGTTGTTTCCATCGCAGCCTATGCATGCACCTCGTATGAAGTGAGTGTGAAAGAATTCCGGACAAGCCGGTCATCAATGGTGGCTCGTAGAAAAGTTGGCAACTGAATGTACAGCAGCTGCGCAGCCAACCAGAATAATTGAAACTGATGACCATAATTTGGCAGCACACAATAGTAATTTAGTCACACCAATTTCTGGCATTATAGGTATAATCGTCCCAGTGAGAGCAGCCTGTGATCTTCTGTTTCCTATGGAAAAGGAACTTCACTGAGCCACCTCCACCTGGTTGCTGTATTCAAGTAGCTCGCATATTCAGGATGTTCAAAATTAAGCCTTTTGTTTTTCTTTAAAAAAAAAGCTGTAAATTGTGCGTGTAAAAGCCACCTTTGCAGATAGCTAAGTGTTCAGGGGAACACAATGTGCAACAAGAATTATCACTGTCAGCCGTGCCATTGAATAAGATTCAATGATGAACTTATTAGTGACTGCAGCAGGCGGCCATGCACATATTAAAAAATTTTAACCAGTCGCATTTCTACATTAGTCCAAAGCATTCTGGCATGCCTGTGCTCAGATATCCCAGTGGCAAGTTTAACTGTGGCTTGCATTCTCATGCATGCACAACAGTGAGCACTAGCACACAGCTACTACTTCCTGAGGTGCCACAATCTGACCATGGGTCAAAGCCAAAGACTAACATTATAATGGTTACCTTTTTACTACCGGCTGGTGAAAGCAAGCACTGAATTCTCGTCCCAGCAGGGAGTAATATTTTGCTGATCCTCACTGCCTTGCATGCGTAATCATGAAAAGCACAATTAAACTTCCGAGTGGAATATCTCAGAGCATAGACATGCTCGAAGAATTTTTCTAAGGTGGGGTATGTAAAAACACGACCGCCACAAACTTTTTTATGCAAACACACCCTCTTATTGTAGGCACCAAAATTTCATTATTTTTAGTTGATTGGGCAGCTGACAGCATTATTGTCTTACTTTGTGTCTCGCTGGACACATAACTTATCTGCAGAGGCGGTTTTTTGTTCTTAGGGCTGAATTTTAATATAAGCACCAAAGTACGTCTCTGAATGTAGTAGTGATGCTCACTAAGGTTTTATGTCATGTTTAATTTTTGTGTAATCTGCAGTTAGTCACTTAAAATTGAACTTTTTGCATTGCAATAAGGCTGTAGCAGATTAATAATCCTATTTTCACTGTAATATTGACTGAATATTTTGTTTTAATATGTTTTTGTAACTTTAGTTAATTGTATTGTCAAATTTAATGTCATAAGTGCAATCAAGTGATTTTCTACTGTCACACTTCATCATACCTAACTTTTGCTATACCTAACCATGTTTAACATTGTTAAAGATAACTGACAGAAGGCATTCTGGAATATTGTAGCGTTTTTTACTTCACTGTGTCTTTTGTGCGGCCCCGCCACGGTGGTCTAGTGGCTAAGGTACTCGGCTGCTGACCCGCAGGTCGCGAGTTCGAATCCCGGCTGTGGCGGCTGCATTTCCAATGAAGGGGGAAATGTTGTAGGCCCGTGTGCTCAGATTTGGGTGCACGTTAAAGAACCCCAGGTGGTACAAATTTCCGGAGCCCTCCACTACGGCGTCTCTCATAATCATATGGTGATTTTGGAACGTTAAACCCCTCATATAATATATATAAGTCTTTTGTGCGAGTATTTTAAGATGAAATTAAAATTCGGGGTGTTGCCAAAACCACAATTTGATCGTTAAACACAGATTTGTGGTGAAACTCATTAATTTCGACGACTCATGATTCTAACATACCTGAATTAAATACCCGAATAAGGGCTCGTTTTTCCGTGTTTTGACACAATATTAATGAGACCTAAGAGACAATAATGCCAAGGAATGTATAGAGGAAGTTATTAGAACTAATGGAATGTAAATAAAAAGAAAGAAAACAGGGTGAAAAAATAACCAGCCGTGAGCAGCAAGACGGCCGGTTATTTTTTCACCCTCTTTTCTTTCTTTTTATTTACATTCCATTTGTTCTAATAACTTCCCCTATAAATTCCTTGGCATTATTGTCTGTTAGGTCTCATGTGTGTGTGTGTGTGTGTGTGTGTGTGTGTGTGTGTGTGTGTGTGTGTGTGTATATATATATATATATATACACACACAGGGGAAGGATGCGCTAGTCTCCTCTTTCTGCGGAGCGAACATCGCCTTTCCGGCGGGGGTCGTCTGCGCGCCTGCTTATCTTGTGAGCGAACAAGGGGAGGGGGGCGGAGGGGGCTTATGATTGTTGCGCTACTGTGGCAACGATCAGCCCGCCCCTCTTGCCCTCCCAGCAGGCAGGAACTTCTACAGGCTGCACTCTCAACATAAAAAAACGGTGCGGGAAGTGTAGCTAAAGCGGCCATCCACATATAGATGCACTCTGCATATAACAAACTGCCACCAGTGGCAACACACAACATATAGCTTTTAGTACCAACATGCGCTGCCCACGAGAGGCGCTTCTTATCAACGCCGTCACTACGCAAAAGCCTTGTTGCGGTCAACTACTATGGCCGTGCCGCAGGAAACTTGGTTACTTAGCAAGTGCATGTTTACTACAATTAATATTGCTCCTAAAGATGCTTGCCTTCGTAAAACATTCGAATATATTGCTATCGCATTCATTGCTTCACCCTTTGGCAAAACTGTGACTGTTTTTTTTTTTAATGCATCTACGAGGAATAGTTTACCTAGCTTTTCAAAACTAATCACAGTTTTGTTGCAACGCCGAAACAATGAATATGATAGCAACAAATTGGAATGTTAAACGAAGTAAGGCTTGCAGCCGACCCTTTTGGGTCCGATCTCACATAACTCGGCAAAACATTGGTTAAAGCAAATGCGGCCGCTTCAGGGAGTGAAGCAGCTTTCATTCTGTTTGCAGTCTCAACACAAAGCGGTGAGAGAGCACCGCATATGCAAGCTGAGTAGTGATGCTACCGACATGCCACACATGCCAGCACCTGCCACCAAGCCATTATGGTCAAAGTTCAGAGTTGCTGATAAAGTGACTCGATTTTAGCAGCGACTATGAACTGGAAAGAAGAGGACAGAAAAATGGGTACCATGCATGCGCTGCAGTGAATGTAACGTCACAGCTTGTGCTGGCGTGTAGCTGCTGTGCACAGACAATCTTTCAAAAATACAGCCAACCGTTTAAGAATACGTGATATAAACTCTGTTTATTAGAACAATGTCTTCCTAGTACAATTTCAATGTTATCATTAGTATTTTCAACTTATTTTTCAGTACGCCTTAAAAAAATTTCCCTGGAACAATTTTCCCTGGAACAGGCTAGTTCGCGAAATAACAGTGCAAAAGATGACCCGACTAACACCATAAGACAAACGACTTACAACTGATTGATTACTGAGAAGATACAGAATTTATAGCACTGACACATCACAAGATACATAATCACTTCGTGCACAGAAACTCCTTCTCTTTGCAAAGAAGAGCTATCGCGGGAGTGCTGACGCACTGATCACACAGCTTATCAATCAAGTCTGCTTCTATAATTTCACCCACGATCTGTTCCAGAAGCTTAGATACAGCAATCAACTTAGCGTACAATGAAACGCACCCACAGCAAAAACAAGTGCTGTGAACCTTTCACATTTTTTTCGATCATGGGTCTCAAACACGTGACCCGCGCACCTTTCACTTGCAGCCCACGGCTTCACAGCAAATAAAGTTTTGTGAGTGGCTTTGCTAAATAGTACTCGCATCATTTTCTTGCCTATTGCAATTAATAGTGCTCGAGACTTGTCCCAAGCCTCTTTTTTGTGAGGCACCCTGTGTGGTCACTGTGGGTTAAACATCAGCGTGGAATAAAAGCTATATATTTCAGAAACAGCATCTATATTTTAGTCACTGTGGAAATTAGTATCCATGTGTTTTTGAAACCTGACAACGAATCCCCTTCAGAAGTGACCCGCATAGGGGATATGGGAAAGAGGCAATCTTTGATTGGCCTATTAGATGACATTTTGTTCAAGCTCTCTTGACCATCCTCGCCCTTGTTGGGACTAAATTTCATGACTGTAGCAGGCGAGTTTTAAATGCCTGTTTTAGACAGTCTTTCAGAAAGACCAACCACTTCTACTCATGTCAGCACCTTGAGCTTTCATACACCATAAAGCTTTGCCAAGGAAGTGGCCGGTCATCTTTGAGGTGCTTTGAGGTGACCTGAGCTCGACCCACCAACAGCCAGAAAGCTGAAGAAAAATCTTCCCGAGAAAGTAGCTCTTACCATGAAGAGGATGGCAGGCTGATGCTTGAACACACCACCCGCACGCTTGTGGGAAAGAAGCCTTTGCAGAGAAACCCCGGAGATCATTGCTTCCCACAGGCATGCTGGTATGGCCACCCCAGATCATACAGCTTTGACAATCACCCAGGGCTTTACATAAGCCAGGGCAGCTACCCGGCCGAAAATTACCAGATCGACAGTCCTGCACAGGCCGTTGGCAAAGAGACATCACAATCCTGTGGGGCAATGGCGTACAGTGGAGCACACAGGTATGTGACAGCACTGAATAAATGCCGCTCACACTTTGTACCCGCACTCTAAACCTAAGCTAGCTCCAATAATGGGCTGCATTTTGTTCTGCACAGGACTGTAATTCTATGTATAAATAATGACCACCCACTTGAGAAATAAACAATAAACATTATTTCAAAGTGAAAATTCTAAAATTTGTTTTCTCCGGAAGGAGGATGGCCAACTTACATAGCTGTTGACTGCTCATTAAAGACTCGTAGACTGAAGGTTTGCTTTCATCTCCCTTTCTTGTTACTTATGTTCTCTGGAATGGCTTGCTGCTATAATGGTCCAAACAATGTGTTTTGACTAGTTGCAGCGATGATTTTGTGTGGATGCTATGAACAGACCATGAGCTCTAAACACAACACTGACCTATGCTAGCGATAAACAAAAATGTTTACACGAATGAAACAAACTTTCCAGCCACTTTCAGTCCATAGTTTCTCATTTTGAAGTTATAAACTAAAAACTGACCCAATGTTTCAGGAGCAGTTTGTTTTGTTTGTATAAATTTTTGCCTATCCAGACAGCTCTCTGTCAAATATGTTCACCTTTAAAAACTATTGATTTATTCACAAATAAAGTACATTTATCAAACATTCACGCTTCTGACAACAACAAAAATATGAGTTGGTGCTTTACTTGAATTCCATGCGATGGTATCACTGCTGTGTAGGTTGGTTTCTATAATTTACGTGTTCTGAAAACTAGGCTATAACAGTTCATCAGTGACTATATGTGCATTTCTTTGCAACTGACAGTGCCCAAAACTAGATCTAGATAATAGAATTGCAAAAAAAAGGGTATTCAATAAGACAGTTATAAATAAACTTTAAAAACCTGGCATTTTACGATAACGTATAAAAGCCGGCATGTATGATATTTCATCTGATCAACACTACGGATAGCAGAAGATATCAGTGATGGAATTGACTTAACTTTTTGGAGCATACTTAGGAGCAAAAAAGTACTGCTTTGGAGCAGCCATGAGTGTTTCTGGAGCAGGAAGAATACTTGCTTGAGCAGGTATTGGTGTTTTAGGAGCAAATACTAAATTTGCCATAGATTAATTGGAGTTGGGAGCATTGTCAAATAATCTCGTAAATATTATTATCCATTATGAAATATATTTAAGAAACAACAATCAATGTAAATTTGACAAAGCAAACAATGACAGGTTATCAAAAATGTGCTGTGAAATAAGCTATAATTTAAAATACTAGTATTTGTTGCAGAAATCAAATCAAACCAAGAAGTCTGAGCCCCACATTTTAGAAGTAACCACAGCCCCATATAACTGTTGCCAAATAAGCAGTAGATAATCAGTATGAAATAAAAGCAATCCTGCTCATTTCCACATTTCACCCACTAGCCTGCATGTCAAGCTGAAAGAAAAAAAAAACATGTGAGCTATATGCCAAGTATGCCAGTTTTTATTGCATAAATGAGATACGCTGATAATGCTACACACTAATAGCACACTGGGATGATGGTACACATTCTTTTCAGTTTCTATTAAGAGTTGGTCAAACAGTAAAAGTTAGTCATTCTCATTCTCTCAGTGTCATTTCGGAGCAGGTTTGGAAGAATTACCTATTAACAAAAATTACTATTTGGAGCAGCACAGATCAAGATTTCTTTTTTGGAGCAGTTTGGAGCAGTACTTCCACCACTGGGATGTGCACTTTCCTTCTACATGTAGCATTCTGTTCTTTCTACAACATTCTATCTAAATATGGCCAATCACATGAATTGCATTTATTAAAAATTCATCTTAGCCACAGTAACTACATAGGAATTAGGAACTAAGTTCTCCCCACCCAAGCTTCCCAACTATGAAGCACATGGCGAATTTCACTGGGAGAAAAGGAGCACTCAAACACACGCCGCAGGTGCTCTCCTTAGAGCCAGAGTGTTTCAGTGGTCGAACAGGAGTAGAAGCACTGTCATCCAGTGGTAGAGAAAAAATACATTTACGGTGCGGAGAGCAGCCAAGAGCAGTTTGTAGTGACCTCGCCGAGTAGGCACAGTGCGACAAGAGTCACGAAACTTATAAATGTCACACTGTCCGTATTTGTTTGAATTGTTTTTTCAGCCGGCAAGTGCAGTGGCAGTGGTATCTACCATGTATAGTTTGACACCCCTGATGTTCACCGTAGTGGCGCTGTTTGTATGGGTAGCGATGATGACGGCTAGGAAGAGTACACAGATACATTTGCTGGATGTGTTGTTATACAAACGTACTTGTAACTGCAAATTAAAACAATGGTGAACATGTGAATGACAGATTTTAGGCGCATTTTGCTGCTCCCTTGCAGAAAATGCTGTGGCTTCAATTGTTTTGATTATGTGGTGTCCTATTCCCTCACTTGTCACCCTATCACCTGCTCTCAGGAAGCGTGCCCTGTTCCAGTGGCAGTTCTAGTGGCCCTGCTCTCAGTGCTTTGCCTCCACTCCACACTGCACCATCCTTCTACTCCTGTTCTCCCAATTAAATTCCCCATCAGCATATGCATTCCAAAGTTCACACATTTTGCCAAAAAACATACCTTCACTTTTCTACGGTCCAGACAGACACCAGAGCCACCACACCAAGCACAAGCAGGGTTAGCCTGGCAGGCAGTTTCAAATCTATGGCTGCAATAAAGGCAAATAAATTTAAAAAGGGCAAAAAGTACCAGAAAAAGAAATTGATAGGCCAGCAGATATGGATGGAATCAGTAACTTATATAGTTTTCAAAGTAGCAGGCAGCAATAAATTCTACTGTATTATATAAACAATTGAGCAAATTATTTCAAGGTAGTGATTTCATTACATGTTGACTCATTACTTTTGTAGTTATATTTCGCTCAAAATTCACAAGAAAAGGAAAAAGGTGATAGTTAATTGTATGACGAAAGATAGAGCTGAAGTTGCCAAAACACTGAGCATTGTGCTAATTGTTACAGAACAAAGCACTGATGTATGTCTAGTTGGTGGGAACCTAGTGTCAGTGACAAAATCCTTCAGTGGGTAGATGGTTGCAATAGCAACCACTTTGGAGGAAATCTGAAATGCTAGAGTCGTGCCAGTAGATTATATTGCTACCTGTAGGCTGCCACAAACCATAGTGCGAATGCGCGTGTGCGCCCGACGAAGAAGATGAGGCTCGCTGGCTGCTCGAGCTCGGAGCCAGACTGGCCAGTGCTGCAACCGCTCTTGCAAATATATTTTTCGAATATATTCGCAATACTTTGTCTCGTTACTCACGTAACATATTTGGTGGAGGTGGAACGATCCCCGTCCTCACCACGCAGCTCCGCAGTGGCCGCATCCTCCAGCTTCCCGCCATGGCTTCCAGTGACAACGCGTCCGCTTCATCATCTGCGGCTTCTCCGACAACCTTTGTCGCCGTCCAAACACCACGTGATCCCGGGACATTTTCTGCGCAACCTGGCCTCGACGTCGACAAATGGCTTCGCCTTTATGAACGGGTCAGTCAAACTCACCGTTGGGACCCTACCATGATGCTCGCTAATGTTCTCTTCTACTTGGACGGAACCCCGCGTGTCTGGTACGAGACAAATGAGTCCGAACTCACCAGCTGGGACACGTTCAAGGAGAAGCTACGTGACATCTTTGGGGACCCGACCGGTCGCCACGCAGCTGCACGACAGGAGCTGGCTACCCGTGTCCAGTCGCCAACTGAATCGTATGTGTCATACATCCAAGAAGTTCTCGCTCTTTGCCGAAAAGTGGACGAGGCGATGTCTGAGGCTGAAAAGGTTGGACACGTTTTGAAGGGGATCGCGGACGACGCCTTCAATTTGCTGGTGTACACTAACGTCTCGACCATCGACCGTGTAATTCAAGAATGCCGCCGTTTCGAAACAGCAAAAAGCCGTCGGGTGCGCCCTCCTTTTTCTCGGTTGCCAAACACGGCGGCTACGTCCACCTGCTCCGATTCTACCGTCACACCGCCCTTTGAGCAGAGTGTAACGCGTATCGTTCGACGGGAACTTGAAGCAGCAAGTCCAGCGCCGCTTCAGCCCACTTCTTTCGAACATACGATACCGACAACCCCCGCGATCTCCGTTATTCAGGCGGTCGTACGACAAGAATTCGCCAACCGCGGGTTCCCTGATGCTTGCCCCATCTCTTGCCCCTCCTCCAGACCAATTCCCATTAATGCACCTCGACGTGACCCATTTGTTGCTCCACGATCTCGCAACCCGGCGGAATGGCGAACTCCTGACGACAAACCGATCTGCTTCCGGTGCCACCGCGTTGGACATGTCTCCCGCTACTGCCGTGCCTCCTGGACGCCGCCACATAGGAGCCAGTTTTTCGCACCTTATAGCCCATATGAAGATCTTCGCCGGTATTCGTCCAGCCGTACCGCCCCTGCTTTCGACACGTCTAACAGCCGCCTTCCTGCTCGTTCTCCGTCCCCTCAACGCCGTCGTTCCCCGTCGCCCCAGCCACGCCGCCATCACTCGCCGCCTAACTTTTCATCGTACCCGACGGAAAACTAGACAGTGCAGCCCCTGGAGGTAGTGCTGCATCATCCCTGTCTGAACCAAACCCTCCATTGACGCTTCATACGAACAAAAATCTTGTCGATGTACACGTGGACGGTATTTCTCTGTCGGCACTAGTCGATACTGGCGCTCATGTATCCATAATCAGCGTTCATCTTTGTCGCCGCTTAAGAAAAGTACTCACGCCCCCTGCTACCGAAGCTGTACGTGTGGCCGATGGCGGCACTGTTCCTGTCATTGGCATGTGTACGGCTCGCATACGCATCGCCGACCGTTACATCCCTGTTCTATTCACGGTGCTCCAGAACTGTCCTCATGACCTCATCTTAGGGATGGACTTCCTGTCGACCCATTCTGCTCTGATCGACTGTTCCGCTGGTACTCTTTGCTTAGACCTTCCTCTTCAGCCGGATATTCACCCTGAACCTCAACACGGCCTTTCTGCCACAGACTTCCTCCGCTTACCGCCTAAAGCCCTCACATTCACCGAATTCGCCACGACCTCACCCGTATTGGATGGGAATTACATCGTCACGCCGATTCCTGATGTCCTACTGGCACGTGACGTCACCGTCCCTCACTGCATCGTAACTGTAGCCTCCAACCGGACCCGTCTACCCGTCATAAATTTCGGCTTCACAAAGCAAGTCCTCCCTGAAGGCATCCTAATTGCCACGTTGCGGTCCTTAGCCGATGATCACGTCACCACTTTCGCAGCCGACGCATGCCCCAATTTTCCTTGTCGCCCACTCGATGCCACATGCCTCGACATGTCAATACGTCCCATGATCGACCCTGACCTTCCCCCAGCGCAATCAGCCGCTCTCGCACGCCTTCTAGCTTCCTACCGTGACATCTTCGACCTTGACGACCGCCCACTCGGCCAAACTTCTCTTGTAGAGCACCGCATCAACACCGGTGATACTGCTCCCATTCACCGTCGACCGTATCGCGTGTCCGCGTCGGAGCGCCAGATTATTCAAGCTGAAGTGAATAAGATGTTAACTAAAGGCATTATTGAGCCCTCATCAAGCCCATGGGCGTCACCCGTCGTCCTGGTTAAAAAGAAGGACAACACATGGCGTTTTTGCATCGATTACCGGCATCTAAATCGAATCACCAAAAAGGACGTGTATCCTTTACCACGTATTGATGACGCCCTCGATTGTCTCCACGGCGCACGCTACTTTTCATCCATCGACCTTCGTTCTGGTTATTGGCAGATTGCCGTAGACGAGAAAGACCAAGAAAAGACCGCCTTCATCACTCCAGATGGCCTATACCAATTCAAGGTTATGCCCTTCGGCCTATGCAATGCCCCCGCCACGTTCGAACGTATGATGGACTCTCTGCTACACGGGTTCAAATGGTCAACATGCCTGTGTTACCTAGACGACGTCCTCGTATTTGCACCTACGTTTGAGACCCACCTTGAGCGTCTGTCGGCCATTCTCGACGTCTTCCGCAAAGCTGGCCTCCAGTTGAACTCCTCGAAGTGTCACTTCGGCCGCCGACAGATTACCGTGCTGGGCCACCTTGTCGATGCTTCTGGTGTGAGACCGGACCCTGAGAAAATTCGTGCCGTCACGAATTTCCCAGTACCCCAATCCGCCAAAGATGTCCGGAGCTTTGTGGGACTTTGCTCCTACTTTAGGCGGTTCGTGAAAGATTTTGCGGCAATCGCCCAACCACTTACCGATCTTTTGAAGAAAGGCGTTCCATTTTCGTGGGGGTCCACTCAAGCTGCCGCCTTCTCTCACCTCATAACACTTTTGACGACGCCCCCTATCCTCGCCCACTTTGACCCATCTGCCCGAACTGAGGTCCGAACTGATGCCAGTGGTCACGGTATCGGAGCCGTTCTCGCCCAATGCCAACAGGGACACGACCGCGTTATCGCGTATGCTAGCCGCCTCCTTACACCTGCAGAGCGTAACTATTCGATCACAGAGCGAGAATGCCTTGCTCTTGTCTGGGCGGTCTCAAAATTCCGTCCATATTTATATGGCACTCACTTTTCCGTCGTCACCGACCACCACGCGCTCTGCTGGCTTTCATCCTTAAGAGATCCTACAGGTCGACTTGGTCGCTGGGCTCTGCGACTGCAAGAATACACCTTTTCTGTGATATACAAGTCTGGACGCCTGCACCAGGACGCCGATTGCCTTTCTCGCTATCCAGTTGACCCATCGGCCACCATACCTGACAACGACGCCTGCGTGTGCTCCGTTTCTCAACTGAACCACATAGCCGACGAGCAACGCCGTGATGCAGCCCTACGAGCTATCATTGAGCGCCTCGACTCCTCCCCATCGAACCGATCCTATCGCTCGTTCGTACTCCAGAATGGCACATTATACCGGCATAACTTCCATCCAGACGGCCCATCTCTGCTGCTTGCCATACCCAAACACCTCCGCTTGGCTGTACTCCACGAACTTCATGACGTTCCTACTGCCGGTCACCTGGGTGTGTCCCGCACATACGACCGGATTCGCCGTCGCTTCTATTGGCCAGGTCTGGCACGGTCCGTCAGAAGATACGTCGCGGCGTGTGAGGAATGTCAGCGCCGCAAAACACCATCGACGCTTCCGGCTGGGCGCCTTCAACCACTCGATATTTCTACTGAACCTTTCTTTCGCGTCGGCTTGGACTTACTCGGCCCTTTTCCTCTGTCTTCTGCTGGCAACAGGTGGATAGCTGTGGCCACAGACTACGCCACACGCTACGCAATCACACGCGCCCTTCCAACAAGTTGCGCCACTGACGTCGCCGATTTTCTTCTACACGACGTGATCTTGCAACATGGTGCTCCACGCCAGCTGCTCACGGACCGAGGCCGCACATTTCTATCGAAAGTCATAGCGGACATTCTACGCTCTTGTGCAACACGCCACAAGCTCACTACGTCGTACCATCCGCAAACAAATGGCCTCACAGAACGCCTGAACCGAACCCTAACTGACATGCTTGCAAAGTACGTTTCCTCAGATCACTCTGACTGGGACATCGCTTTACCATACGTGACATTTGCCTACAATTCTTCGCGCCACGACACGGCTGGTTACTCCCCTTTTTTCTTGCTGTTCGGCCGCGAACCCACATTACCCCTCGATACGACGATTCCGTTACCAGCAGCTCCAACTTCACAATATGCTCTGGACGCCATCAGCCGGGCCGCCCACGCACGCGAAACCGCTCGTGCTCGCCTTCTGACCTCCCAAGCAAACCAACGGCGTCGGTACGACCAACGACACCGCGATGTGCACTTTTCGCCCGGTTCGTTGGTTCTGCTGTGGTCTCCGACCAGGCACGTTGGCCTGTCTGACAAGCTGCTCTCTCGGTACACAGGGCCCTACAGAGTGCTTCGTGAGGTGACTCCCGTCACTTATGAAATCACTCCTGCTGCCTCGCCGTCTTCATCCACCCCTAGGGCCAGCGACATCGTACACGTCGCACGCCTGAAGCAGTACCACTCGCCCAATGATCTTGACATCTAGATGCGCCGAGACGGCGCCTTTGCCGACGGGGGTTATATGCTACCTGTAGGCTGCCACAAACCATAGTGCGAATGCGCGTGTGCGCCCGACGAAGAAGATGAGGCTCGCTGGCTGCTCGAGCTCGGAGCCAGACTGGCCAGTGCTGCAACCGCTCTTGCAAATATATTTTTCGAATATATTCGCAATACTTTGTCTCGTTACTCACGTAACAATATCACTGAGGAGGGGGAAAAGGTGGCATTTCGTGCACAATTTACTACAGTAATAAGAGTTCAATCATTGTCTGTATTGAAGTTGTGTCACTCTGCCAACAGATAGATGCTCCAAGCTAGCCATGAAGTGCCTCTCCCCCCCTCCTAGAGCCTAAATCTTAAACCACTGTCCTAACTTACACAGAGCAAACATATCACTAGCCAGAAGTTTATAATTATAGAGCTCCTTTACGGTGCAGTGCACACCCATACGATTGTTGACCACTATAATGTACCGCATTGTGACTCAACATGTATGCAGATTGTGCTTTGAATGGTTAAAAGTTATAGCTTAGACTACAGTAATAAAGTTAGGCCATCATTAAACACATATATCAGCTAATCTTGTCTACTGTAGTTACTCCTGCTGTCATAAGCAAGAAAAAAGATTGTAAAGAAAATGTTTTTTTTTTTTTTTTATGGGGGACAACTGCCAAAAGTATAAAAGCTTTCTTTGCATTATCACACACGATAACAGGCATGAAAGACAATATCAACATAGCACACTGTGGTGAGGCCTTAAAAAAGAAAAAGTAGTCACTCACCGAATACAGGCTCCAGAGGCTGAATCTGAGTAAGCATGTGTAATGGTTGTTGGCAGTAAAAAAGCCCAGAGGTCAGAGGACATGACCCCTCTATAACCTCCCAATACGAGAAGTGTGTGACCACGACGGAGAGCCATCACATGAGAGTACACACCAGGACACCGATCACTGTGGCCATGACCTTTAAGTATTGTAAAATGAAAACGATAGTTGTGAAGAAACTTAGAGCACTAGTAAGGTAAACTTATTGTTTTAAGCTTGCATAGATAAAAATTGGCACAATGAAGAAATAATGCAGTCATTTACTGCTTGTCTCAGAAGAAAGCAATCATAGGGTTGCAACAGCCAAAATATAATTTGGAGCAATTTTTGGAGAAGCAAAATGTTACTTTTGGAGCACTTAAATCCAAGTTTGGAGCAAGTTATAGGAGAAAAAAACATTCAATTTTTATTATGAATACCGAATTAAAAGCAGTTTAGGAAAGAAAGCTTAGAGTTAGAAAAAAAATTCGGGGACCCTTAAGCTTGGCCTTTAAGAGTTGAACGAGATAGCAAAATCTGGCCCCTAGTGCACCCTTCAACTTCTAAGTGCATACTTATTAATATGTTTTGTTACACACACACAATCGCACGCACATGCAAGTGCGATGTATCTATAGTAATGCAGTGACTGTGCAGTGTGGCCGCTTTGCGCTCTGCTGTAGTCGAGACACGTTTTTTACAATGTCTCACAAATGATACACAGTCACACACGCCTGCGCGCAAATAGTACATACAGGTTTTTGATCAAAAGCGAAAGTTGCATGGCCTCCAAGATGCACGCCGCCGACTTGCCATCTCGGATGGCCATAAAGAGTCTTACAATGCTTCACAGGTGATAGCACATTATCTAGCATTTGCTGTTTGCTTGATCAGCGCCTCTGAAAAGGCGTGATATGTTTTCTGCTAGATGGACATAGTTGACCATTTTTAAAGCTGTTAGAAAGTTCCTGTGTGTTTTTGCTGGCGATGGCTCAACTATCCCGTCCTTTTTCGACGTAGTTTGATGGCCTCTCAAATGCGCCTACAAATCGCCAAATGGACTTGTTTTGGTTGTGACACCCGTTGAACAAAATGTGTTAAGAAGACTCCTTTCACTGCATGGCATTTATGTAGTGTTTTTTACCTATGTAGCTGCAAGTAACATTGTGGCTTTGTGGTAGGACACCTGCTTGCCAAGCTAATGGCCCGGGTTCAATCTTAAATAGGACCAAAAATTTTACACTTTATTTTATTGGCTTCTTTTTGAATTTTTCACTCATGGACAATTTTTCGCTCACAACCAACGATGCCGACGCCGACGGCGAAATTTCTGCGATACTAGCTCTCTAACGCTATTGCGTTAATATATGTATAAGTAATTCAACATATCTAAATCTTGCAGATTGAATATGAGCACTACTATTTACACAAATGTAGTATTTTTTTTAATCACCCTCAGCAAACAATGATGAGGTCCACAATAGAATTCACCATGGCTGTCAAATTGTTTGACAGAGTCTGAGGATTGAAATGTGGATCTCCCAAAATGGTGACCATGAGATTCATAAAACTGGAAAAAAAAAAAAGAAAGCTGCCGCACAGTTTTGTTTGATTTTTTTACGGTTGCAGAAATGTCATACAGTACTCTAAGTCATTTTGCAGTAACCTTTTTAGACGTCAGCAATCATATTAGTACTCACAATTATGTGGTGTACACACGCATCATTAATTGAACAAACTGCTGTCTCTAGAGACTACTCTGCTAGAAGCACCTTTGAAATCTTGAATCGATTTTATGCAGGCCACCCATGTACTGCGGCGAAGGTGGCTTAAGCGGTGTTTCTGCACAGGTTAGAACAAGACCAAACCATTTTCAAACCACTAGCCCTCCCCACCCCTGCCTTTTTTTTTTTCATGAAGGGGTTAGGCTTAGGGCACAACTTCTAGGCTCGCTTGAAAGGCGCGTTTGACTAGATAAAGTAACAACGGCACATGCCTGTTGACCTGGCGACGGCAAGATAGCTATCGCATGTGGCGTTGCTATGGCAACTAACGTGGTCTTGGCATGAATTAAAGCTGGAAGCATACAAATTTGACATACTGCAAGTTTATACGCTTCCAGCTTTAGTTTCTAATGGTTCCTAACATGCCATGGCTGCGTTTGCGGACTAAAAAATTCATATTTCCCGTTAAGTGTTGTTGGCTACGGCCACACATTTTTGTCTTAAAGCTGAGTCGTCCCGCCGGTAGATACCCGCTGCGATCAGCAGCAGACTGACAGGCGTGCGGCGTTGTTACTTCATCTGGTCAATCGCATTTCACGAGTGTCTTGGCCTAATGAGCAACTATCTTACACCACGGTTTGAGGCTAAAGTCTGCCGGCTAGGACTGATTGATGATGCAAACTACAGGTGGCCAAAGTGGCCTCAATTTCTCGCTCAAATTAGGGCGACTGAAAAAACTTGGTGGCTGGTTGGGCATTTTGGCACAGCGTAGTGCAATTTCAGCAAATTTCATGGTTTTGGCACAGCTCGGCGCACAAATGAGGAATTGTATCGAATTGGCACAATTGGTGCGGCTGTTGCACCCCTGCAGTCATTATAGTCTTTTATTATTATTTTTTATGTATATTTGCAGAATTCTTTTTTTTCTTTGCTTATACAAATGTCACATAACAATATCACTCAAGCAAACTATTCCGTTACAATAATGAAATGCCATGCTCTAAGTTTGCAAGTTTTCAAACAATCAATCTGTCTCGGTAAGAATACAGCTCACTGTGAAAAAATGAAATCAGTCTGTTTGGATTTAAGTGATATGGCCTGACCCCTCCACTTTGTCAAAGCAACCCCAATCCTTAATCCTGTTCTGCTATGTAATAGTCAAGAAAAGATATATTCTGGATGATATGCAGAACTTTCACCAATCACGGACATTTTCTAAAATCTGCTGGAAGCACAGCACAACACTAATCATGGGCACACTGCATGTCTGGATATGCATCCATGTCCACTTATGAGTCAATTTGTGCAAATAACTATTTTTGTGGCTGTTAAAAGAAAAAATTTTGCTTGCTACACTGTAACTTAATGGCTGCCCCTTTTCGCTTGGTTGTTAGTATAAAATAAAGATTCAGGAAGAAAATATATAAGCGGACCCCCAATTGGGAAACGGTCTACAGACTTACCCAGCAGGTCCCCTGCAACGAGCTTGAACGAGACCCACTTGTGGCAGCGTAAGTGGTACAAGTAGATGCCATCATCGAAGCACTTTTCCACAAATGAATGCTTGTGCATATAACCCCCGAAGAGGACCATATAACCCCCTACTAGGGCCGCTGCATGAAATGCCCGCTCTGTGGGTGCCTCTCCACCATGAGGGGTTCGTTGAAGGCGTGTCCATCGGTTGGCATCCACATGAAATGCCCACAATGCTGAGCTCAGCTTGCTGAAGCGTGCATAGTCCACCACCACACCACCATGCACCAGCAGAGAACGTGACTCTGTATGAAACACTGCAGCATGGCCAACTGAAGGAGGCACAGAACCTACATAACTTACACGCTCCCACTGGGTACCATTTCGTGGATTCACTCGATAAAGCGCGTCCGAGAACACACCCCCTGATGTCCTACCACCAAAGACATACAGGTGGTTTCCGTCGCCAGGAGTCAACGTGTGCAATGCAACAGCCGGTGGGTAGTGACCAGCAGGCGAAGGCAACTCAAGTGTCCACTCCCTTTTGGCAACATTATAGAGCCACAACTCGGATGAAAGGCTTCCATTTGCAAGCTCACCACCATGAAGAGCAATAGTGTGGGCATAAGGAGCCATGGCGTGACCCCAGCGGGCAGCAGGTCGTGGCTTCACGACAGTCAGATCATGCCATGCACTTTCGTTGAAGTTGTACACGAGAAAGTCTCCCAGTACACGTCCAAACGCCCGGCCCCCAAATACAAAGAGCTGATCCGTGAAAGGCAAATAGACACCTGCATGTCCTGCACGGGCAGCAAATGGGACGCTGCCCCTCGAGAGAAGGTGCCAACCAGCAGCAGAATCATTCGGGTTTTCAGGCAAGCTGCAAGAAATTCCAGCAAAACCATGGGAACAGCGGCAGCAGTGCGGAGTCTCAGCTAATCCTGGTGAGCTTGTTGTGGCACAAGGAAAGCTGCAGTTGCCCTGGCCTTGTTCAACATGGCAGGAGCTAGGGCAGACAGGTGTACCACAGTCAGGGCCTGCCCACGCAAGGTCACACACGCATGAGTCACGACCACAACTGCCATGGCCACTACAGTTGGATGGACACTGTGTGATGGAGTACTCAGCCACAAACCCCTTGAGGACATAGTTGGTGTCACTGTAGAGAAGAATCAGCATCTGCAGAAAAAAGCAAAAAAATGGTCTACTAAAAAAATGTTTATCGACACTGGAAACTTAAAGCCCAAGCAGGATACAAAGTAGCAGCACATGGACATACACTTGGAAATAGATGGAAATCAAAAACGATTAAAAGATGTACGCAGGGGTCCACTGTTAAAGGGAACACCGGAGCGCGTGTCATCTGCTCGGTGTCGCCGCCGGCCGGCTGCGAAAACTAGTGTCGCGCAGGAGCAGTGAGCACTGTGGGCTGTGCTCGTTTGTTGTCTGCTACAGTTGCAGCCGTGCTTCAACGCGTTGCAAAGAGGCCGAAGGCACAAAATCTTAAAAAGTAGTCGCTTTCCTTTGAGCTAGAAAAAAAATGATGTGCATGATCTACAGTCAAACCTCGCTACAACGAACGCCGCTTCAACGAAATTTCTGCTACAATGAAAAATTCACTTCCCTGTCAGCTGTCCATACGAGTCAATGCATAAATATTGTCACCACAATGAACACTTTTTCTTCTGCCGTCCCGCTTCAACGAAATTTCACGATGCAATTCCAGGTTCAGATATTTATGGCTAAACAGAAAACACAATTTTTAACATTTTGATGCATTTTCAGAACCTGAAAATATGTCTGCGAAGTCTAAAACACGTGCTGGCACCACCATAAACCGCCACTGTTCAGCAAGCATGGCCGACGGCAATGAGACTGCCCTGTTTTTGCCACTGGCTTGCTTTTGAGCCGCAGACGATCTGAAGCTGAAGCTCACTCGCTCAGTTTGTGTTTGTTTTTTTTTACGCAGCTGTGCGGAACAATGTCTTTTTCGATGCCAATGTGTATCATTTCATTTGCGTTTGGTGATTGTGGTAACGAATCAGAGCGGCAGTTTCTGTATTAATAATATCGACTAGCCACGAGTGGTGGATGATAAGAATGGCATAGAATAAGGCAAAAGTCACCACTCTACGATACCCTGCCTCAATGTCGGCATTGTTGAATACACTTTGACGGCGGACAGCTGCTGGTGTCAACGTGTTGATTCAACTGTCTGGTTCGTTCACGAAAGCAGTTGTAGGTGTTGTTTCAGCATGCTTTCCACCATGACCTCGCTATGCATGGGTGAGAATCACGTCGTGACGCTGCTGGAAAAGAATAAGAAGCAGCGGACACTTTTTGAATTTTGAGAATACAAAATATTTCTTTGTTTTGCTAGCTAAGATCAGCTATATTGTTTTATTTCACTACAACAAAATTTCCGCTTCAACGAAATTTTTTTCCCAACCCGTCAATTTCGTTGTAGCGGGGTTCAACCGCATAATGCGATAAATGTCACCTCACACATCAGCCAGATGGCTATCTTTTGTTCGCTACCTCGTTAAAGAATTGCCCACATCGAGATAGCTTTTTGGCCATGCTAGTTAAAGGCACTTGTAAATGTTTTGCTCAGCTTACACACCGCAGCAGCTCGAATCTGCCTTAGTGCACATGAAATACACGCTCCACAAGAAAAAGTATTCTTTAATATAGCTCTGAGATATCAGTAAAGAAGATATGTTACCTTAACCGCCAAAAATATAAACAAGGCAGTATTTTACGTAATGTAATTTCCTTTCAACTTTCCCACAGCTTTCCATCTAAGTGTGGCCATGCAATCTGCGGACAAATTTCAAAGCCCAGGGTCGGCTCGCTTCGCAATGAGCTGAAACACGGCCACTACTGTAGCAGGAAACAAACGAGGGCCGCTGACAGCGCTCACTGCTTCTGCGTGAAACTACGAGCAGGGGACATGCACTACGGTGTTCCCTTTACCAGTGGACCCCTCTGTACATCAGGCCAACTGTGCATAACATCAAAACATAACATAAATGATGGTGAAATTCTGTGCAACTGTTCTTTACTTAATACTGCATAGGTTCACAGAAAGAAAGGATTGCTAAGCAAACTTGTCTTTTTGAAGGCATTTTTAACAAGTGAGGAACAGGCAAGCTAAGCAAATAAAATCTTTATTGGGGGCTTTTTAGTCAGTGCTAAAGGGTGCTAATTACACTATGGAGCAAGAAGGGTAATGGTGATCCTGAATGTCCAAGTAGACACCCCAGTGTTTGAATAAATAGCACGCTATTGTACAAGGTTTGATGAGTGGTTTAGATACTCTGTGGAGTTGTTCGCAACCCCTCATAACTTTTGCACCGCAAAGTGCCCACGTGACCTGTGGGCTGGCTTCACCGTGGGGCACTGACCCATCTAATGTTGGCATAGTCCCGCTCTACAAGAGATGGCACTGTGTTCCCAAAGTGGCCCCACCTAGCGGCAAGGATGCACGCAACCATGGGGAAGGACACTTTCTCTCTTGGTCGCTAGTCACAGGTGATTGACTCTTGAGCACACGATGAGGAGCTCCATGGATTGTCCTCATGGGCTCCCTCCCATGGAAATACGAACATCATCGATTCCACTTCGTGTTGCATTAGTTATGTCACAGTGGCATGCTATTGGTTGTATCGTTCAGCTAGCAGGCTCACTACGAAAATACAACTGGAATGCTGTGATTTGTATAGTAATTTGGCTGGTGGGCTTGCTAGGTAAAACATGCAAATAAATGCCGCTTTGTTGGTTTGCACTACAGTGATCTGCGTCAGTAGTTCACTGAGTGAGAAACATTCCAAAAATCTATCATCCACGGTTCAATGAATTACAGCCACTCATATGTCCATTTCTAATAGCTTTAAAAACAGAACTCATATGCAAAAATGTATGCTAAATAACAAATGGTATAAAAGAAGACGGATGGTCCGCAAATAAAGGACGAAATATAAATTTCTGCTACAGCGGTTCACATAGATCGAAATACTTACAGATCCTGATGTTGCTGTCACAGGTGGTGGGATGGACTCACCACTGAAGGTTCCTAACAATGGGCTGGTATAGGAGTCGCCATCATAGACAAACACATGATCATAGGCACATTCCGTAGCCATTTCAAGAAAACGCAATGTGATGTACAGCTTGCTGGAGTTAGCTGTAACAGAGAAAAACACTCAATTAGGGCACAAGAAATAAATTGCAAACAACTATCAATTAAGGCTGAAAATAATGATTAGCAGGAAAACGAGGCACAATGAAAAATACCATGGTTTCCTAACTTGTCTGCTGGGATACACTCCTACAACATACAAGTTTTGTGCAAATGCTACTGTCTAAGGGATCGGGTTAACTGGCGGAACATGGGAGAGGCCTTTGTCCTGCAGTGGACGTAGTCAGGCTGATGATGATGATGACTGTCTAAGACTCTTGTTCTCACAAGATCGTGTAACTCGCTACCAAGATGCCGAAAATGCTAAAGCTTTGTCTGAGTACTTTTTTCCACCTATCAGAAATTGCAGAGGAATCCATGCCAAGCTTATCACATTTTCTCAATAACTTTTTTTATTTATTGCATCTTTGGATGACGGGAATTCATCTATTCATAGAATGCAAACCACTTCTCTTCGTTTATATGAGGTCTGGACACGTTCCCCTGGTAGTTGTTGGTTGTTTCCAGTCATACGAAATGCATCATAGAGCATATCGAAACGTCATCTACTGCACAAGCCAGTTGTTGTTTGTGATCATCAACATTATCATGATCGTCATGGCGTATAGTGAGTACCTTGTATGTGCTGTGCCATGAAGGCAGGAAGATAATGTGTGGTCTGGAACGCGCTTGTTCTTCATCGTCATGAGCGTCATTGTCATCGTCATGACTAGAGGCCAGATTCTTAGGCACTAAAAATCGTGTTTTATACAAAAAAACTGGCAGGCAAGGCACTGTTTTAGGCACCCAAAATCATATAGGCACAATAAAATATACAAAAACTTGTATTTTCAAAGAAAGACGTGCGTGACCTGTGTCTAAGACCGGAACACAAAAAAAAATGCTTTAGTTGATGATGGCCCAAAGGTGCCAATTAACAGAGCCATGCAATTTTCCTTTTTTATAGGCGGTTTGCAGAACACGACCTCTCATTTTATTGTCCAACATAAGTGTACACCATCAAATAAACACACCCCTGGGTCTTTTTCTTTCTGGCATGGGTGGGAAGTGCAGCACAGGAGCAAATAGTCAGACCACTAAAAGGCCAGAAGGTTCTTTTAGCCTCGCATTGGGCATGTTTAATTGTGCAGGGTCAATTTCTCCTCTGTCTGGAAACACCTTGAAGGGCCCCGCACTGGCCTTGACCATTTCGAGCTGGAAAGTGTAACGCACCCTGAAAAGAGGTGAAATGCCATGCGGACCGCCGATTGTCCTTCATCTTACGGGTGCACACAACAGCATGGAGGAAATGACGTATAACCTGGAATGATCCTGCGTATGTCATAGTCATACGTGACACTGCGAGAATGATTCCAGGTGGCATGTATAATTTATACAATCTGTTGCTTGAATAGAAGAATGAAAGTTGATAGAAATACTAAAATACATAAACAGAATCTGACGCGTTCTTCTTTTTTTTTTTTTTACTTCGAATCGAAAAATGTGAAACTAAACTGCCTCCATTTCGTTTGCGTTCGTGTCCTCGCCATGCTCCTGTTGTGCCAGTGCCAGCCACAACATCGCTTGTCGTGTTTTCAGTGCGTCGTTCCTTGCAAAAGTTTTTAGAGGTGAAACACTGTGTATCATGGTAAGGATGCATGACTCATGCCAGCCTCTCCAAACATGTGCTCATAGAAATTAATCCTGCAGAAACAGGCAGTATACACTACAAAGAACGCCGAAACGACATAACACCACTTGCTTGCACGTCCAGGCTTAGGCATTTCAAGTGCATGTAACCTCTCGTGCTCACGACGTGTTGATACGTCTGCATTGGGGATCTTCCGATTCAGCTCCAACACTGAAAAGGGTAGTGAAGAAATTTGGCTTTCGTAGTCTATACGGGGTGAGTGCCAAATGTTTCAAGCTCACCATGCTTTCGCGGCTCGTAATGAACGAACTGAAAAAATTCTTGCAGTACAAAGCTCTTCATTAGGCACGCAACAAGTTCCAGTGTCAAACTAAAATTTCTCATGTTACCTAGTGAAGTGCCCTTTAAGTAAATTACAGAACAAGCTATAACCACAAGCACATCAAATTTTTTTGTTGTTGTTGTTTTTGCTATCACTTCCCTGATGGCACTCCACGATTTTGCATTCATTCTCCATCTTTATCTTTTTTAGCTACACAGAGGCACCTGTTTTCTGCCTCCACCACCCCAAACAAACACCCAAGGGTCCCTGGGAGAAAAAGAAAAAGGCAGATCCTACGTACAGTGGGAATCGATGATATCCAAAGCATGAATGGGGAAGGTAGATATGTCACTTTAAAATCAGCACAGAATTACAAAGCGAACTTAAATTATGTCGTGCATAACTTCCATGTCATGATTATCATGTTTTTGCCTGGCATTTGTGCTCGTCATCCATTCACATCACGTAATACCAAATTTAGTATATGTGGAGCTAGCGAAAAGGCCGCGAGCATGAGTAATGTAGTAATGCAGCGTAGCATGTAGTAATGTTTTACATGACGTGCATATCATGATTATCATGTTATAGAAATGAAAGTCCAGGTCTGAGCTCTAGGGTGAGACTTCACTGTCCTCCCCTAAGATGGTTAGTACCTATATGGTTAAACAGAATTGTCCACAAGGAGGTTGTTTCGCCCAGATTCGCAACACAGGCTTCCTATGTATGTTAGAGCAGAGTGATTGGTGCAGTGGCATATTGGCTCTGGGGCAGTGGCAGTATGTGTGGGATAGACTGGGCTCGGAACAGCACATTTGGCAATGAGGTGTATTCGGGGCTTGTTGTATTTTGTGCAGTGTAAGGTCATTTAGTAGGAGTGTGTTTGTGCTTGCTTTAAGAGTGTGGTTTCTTTTCTAGAAAAAGCTTCAGGTGATTTCGAAAGCTCTCTTCAACTTATTCGGAGAGATTTCAGGTGGGTCCTTCGTTTCTTATGGCATTCTACACGGTTCACTGTTGGCAGATAAATTTCAGGCCAACCCTGGGAAGTATGTGAACACCAAAGTATTGAGGCCTCAGCATGGGTTTGGGAGTTGCTCAACGAAGAAGAGTGACTTGGCGTTCACTCCAGGTGAACTAATATACTGCGATTATGATATCCATGAGTAGTGAGCTCAGCCAGTACGTTTGGAGGGAGTTGGTTCGGGAGGAAGGCCCATAAGGCTGCCTGTGGGTATGTCCTAACCATGATTTATTGAAAGGTGTGCTCATGCTGTGTGATGGCTTGCGTTTGGTGAGTATTTCTGCTGTAGCTACGGAAGGAACTTCGTGATAGGGTTTCACGATTTTTTACCACTTGGGTCCATTGTTGTTGTGACGGATTTGCCGGCTCAAAAGCTGGCGTCTGCGTGGTATGATATGAACCACTTTGAAGCTGTCGGGAACAGAGCGATTAGCACCTTGCAACATCTCTTTCAATGTGTATGTATTTTGGTATTGGTCTAACGTCAATATGTGGAAGTGTGTCCCTTGGAGGAGCTGGTAATGATAAAGGAGGCAGATTGGTGGTATTGTGTCCCAGAAGTTCTAGTAAGCTACGGCTGTTGGAAATTGAAGTCTTCAAGGAGGCGCTTCAATTCCTTGGGAACACAGGACTGAAGAAGTGGCTGTAAACGCCACCTGTCACATTCTCTGCCACGGATGCCACTCTCCTATTCTTCCCCTTTCTTCCCACCTTCATTCACCTCTTACCATTTCCCTTCATACACTTAGACATGCTTCGATTTCATGTTGAAGAAATGGCATCTTTTCCTTTCCTCCTGCATAGGAGGAGCCGAGTTGGTCAGCGACTCGGTCAATTGAGGGCAGCTCCGAGCAAAATGCCCAGCATCGTTGCAGTGGTTGTACTGGAGCACCGCTGAAATGTCATGGAGCCTAGCAGGAGCAGAATGAAGGGTCCTGGAAAGTGCATCCGTGTAGGCTGGCCTCCGGTATGGATCTTCAGTTGCTTGCAAGCGTTCTTGTATTTCCGCCTCAAGAGCGACGGCTAGGGCTGATCATATATCAATAAGATGAGCGAGGCGAACGAAGCGCTAGACGTTATTTCTGTTATTGATGGCGTCAACAAATGCATTAGCAGCAATAAGGTTCATGGTTGCAGAAGGAAACCCGACAAAGCGTTCTGGTACAAGCTATCAACGTGATCAGAGCAGCGAGTTCTTGAAGGTTGTGTCGACCTTGCCAGACATGTTTCAGTTGTGTGAGGTAGATCTGAAGAAGATGACTACCGCCAAATCTGGTTTCCAGCACAGACACCAGAGCTTCATAGTTAGAGCGGACGACTTGAGGGATGTACTCAAGGCATTCAGCCGTGGCGGCACGGAGCTGCATTACGATCACCTGGGCTTTATTTTGAACTGTTCAGCCGTTTAGAGAAGCGACGGACTTGAAGTGCACAAAAACTGCTGTCCACGACGTGGTGCCATCGAAGGTAGGCAGTGGAAGTTGTGCTCTAAAAAACAGAGGCTAAGCTGGGATGGGAACATTTCATTTAACCGAGGTAGACTCGCTTTGCTGATGGCCAGACTGCACCTCAATGACATCTTTGTTGTGAGGTAAGAAAAACAAATCCTTAGCCCGCACCATAAACATATGACAGAGAGCCTCCCAGCTAGGTCGGCGACAACATCTGCCGTCAGGGCATGTTGGGCAAGAGTGATCTCAAGAAAGAGTAGACGGGTAGCGAAGCAAGTTTCAAAATCTTCCATGAGGCCTCTTCTGTCAGCCTCAACTCGTGAACTAAGGGCTTGTAGGCAATCTGGTATAGGTAGAGTGGCACGAGTGACTGACTGTAGAGGGTGACTTGGCATACCCTGGACATCAAACTCTGACAAAAGAAGCTGCACTCCGACAGAAAAGACAGAGGACCCCGCAGCCTTTGCAGAGTTTTGCTGCGTAGTCAGAACAGCAGGTTACCGGGCCGTTGACAATGTGTCGTCTCCCATAAGGTGCATCTGTGAACTGCCGACTGTTGCTGTTGTCGCGCCAGCCTTGCTCCGAGTAAACATGGGTTACAGTTGTCACTGCTGCCACCAAATGAAATGCACAAGAACAACTAACGCGAACACAATCCAACCCAACACTGTCTCCATCATTCTCTTTCACTGGGCTTATCCTCATGTTCCAGTCACTCCATCAGTATGATCCAATATAGGCACCAATTTTGAAAATAGCCATTCATAAAATTTAGGCATAAACACGGTAAATAGACATTTAGAGGCACTATAAAAGCACTCCTTAACTTCCAATACATGCTCATATATCAAAGTGGCACAATAGGAATGCAAGTAACCAAATAGGAGTTTTCCTAAATCTGTACTCTAGTCATGACGTATAGTAGGTACCTTGCATGTACTGTGCCATCATGACAGAAAGAGAATGTGTGGTCAGGAACATGCTTGTTCTTCATCCTCATCAGCGTCATCGTCTGCTACGGTGCACAGCAACGCCGACGGACAAGCCTCAACCTCAAGGAGCTTTGCCCTTAAAACTGCCGAAGGGACCCTTAAGAACTGACTTCAAACATCACCACAGCTGAAAGCACCCAGACTGAGAAACAAGGTCAGTTTTACTTTTTATAGATGTAATGTTGGCTATTAAGCCAAGGAGAGAGCCATTGAAGCTGGGCCATTAGAAACCCTTGGCAACAGCAGGGGTTGCAAAAGGGGCACTTGCCCCCCTCAAGCCACACCAGCACTTGCCCAAAGCCCAAGCTGTACAAGCACTCGTCCCTTCCCCCAGCTGCTATACAACTTGAGTTTGCACCTTCCCCTCTCAAGACAATATCCTGTCAATGCCTACGCTAAAAAACAGCATAAAAGGTGCAGGTCACGTAAAGAAATGACCAACATGATGCAAGCTTATGGGGTGGAAGTGTCCAAAAATATGACACATTCAACTTTGCAGCTCTAAAAAATGTGTGGTAACAAATCACAACTTGCAGAAGTGTCAAGGTGTCTTTACAAAAATTGAAGAACAGCCATTTTTGTTTCTTGCTGACTTCGGCCTATGTAAAGATTAAACCTATGTAAACTCCACACATAAACAAAATCTACACACATTAACAGCTATTGGTCCCCTCATGAAATAACAAAACACAATACACCAAGAAAAGAAAAGAAACAGGTGAAAGCAAAGAATGTCTATTGGTTGAAAGCCACCCACCTCTAATGAGCCACTCGCAATGAGAGTCGTTACGGTAGCTGTCATTGCCATCAGTGATGATGCCCCAGGGAGCAGTAAGAATCTTGCGATGACGGTTGCAAGTGTCTGATGGCTTGGCAACCACTGGGCCTGGCAAGCAACATGCCAGCAGCAGTGGCACCAGCAGTGACCCGGCCCCGCTGGGCAGCAACAGCCAGATGGCCATGGTCTAGCTCATTTTGGCCACCAGACAGCTGCGCCTGGCTCAGATTGGGAGTAGCCGCATGGGAGCTCCAACCGAGGCCATGCAGCTCCTGGTTCACTTCCCCCATCAAAAGACTGCCACACCTGTTTGAAATTGATTTTTCACATTTAAATATCGCTAACAAGACTCAGACTACATATAAATCCCCCATTCATACAAGCTGTGGTGGCACAAGGAAAAGAAATACATGAAACGCATCTCATAATGTCCATATAAGAATATACCACCAGCATGCCCCTATCTGATAGAATAATTACATTTGCAAACAACAATGTGACAGAGTAAGACCATCACAAGAAGTTTGCTCATGAGACTCTTGCTTGCTGCTGCTATATAAAGTGTAACTGTTGCTAGAGAATATCTTGTTTAATCAAGAATGAGCTAAACCAGCTTCCTAAAACCTTTTTACATTTAGCGTTACTTCAAAGTGAAAAGCTTCCTGACCCTAATTGTCAGTGTAACATAATAATTCTAATCTATCGATGAGAACTAATTCTTGAAAATGATGCTGTGCACAATCATGGTAAAATAATGTTTAAATAGTAAGAGTATACAATATGGAGGTGAATATGCACAAGCTGTTATGTTTTTACAGTGGTACACATTCACAGGCCCTGACCACTATTTATATGTGTTAAATATCCTTCACCAGGAGTGTAACCAGGAGTGGAGAGGAAGGTTCGACTTTCACCCCCTTCAATTTTTTTTCAATTTTGCTTGCATATATGTACATACACACATACAAATGCATACACGAATATACATAAAGAGTGGTTGAAAGCACCCCAATACAAATTTATGGCTATGCCCCTGTTCATCACATCATCATTCTTCCTAATGGCAGTACATACAAAGTATATAATTATATACTTCAACATACATGTAAATATGAAATGCTTTTTTGTTGTACCAGTACCAACATGTCTTGTTTTTTAATGTTACAGAAAATTGCTATTAACTATTTGTTGCATGGTTTTAGCTTCTCCATATGAACTCGAAGTTTTAACGCAACCTAGAAGACTAGCTCAGTATACTACCTGTGGAAGTTACAAAATTGAAGGATGGGCATGTCTAGCTAGAAATGCTATTTAGAAAAATTTTTATGCTTTAAATCAGGGCTCTATAACGTAAAAGCAGAAAAGAGTAAAACAAACTTTTTTGGTAAGCAACACGGCTTCAGATCATCTGGAAATACAGGTACTTCATATTTAAGAAAATCAATCTGTATTTGGTGTGGTTGTACGTTTGTGACAGATGACCCAAGGCAACTCTCGTTTAGTCATTAAATCGGATCAGAGATGTAAGTGCTTCTGATAAAGGAGTTTGGCTTCGAGAAATTTGGATAGACCATTTTCTTTACCTGTTGTAATAAGCTTCTTTGAAAATTGAAGAAAGGGCTGCTCCTGTTTTGTGCCATTTTAGTCATAGTAAAGACTGTTAACACCTGTTCAACTATATAGCTACAGTTTTCTAGTACAAGCAAGAAATCGTCACAAATTGAGAGATCACTCTATTTCTCATAAAATATCTTCAAACACTGTTGGAACTTTACCCATTCTGTTTCTGTTCCTATTAGCTAAAAGAATGTTCACCTACAAATTCTAAAGCATTATCCAATTGTGGCAATTTTTGAAAAAGGTGCTATTTCTGAAGATTTTATGCTCAAGATTTAACTTTTACATCTAAATTGGATGGGAAGCCCTATGCACACATTCAAATAACATGTTAGCATTGTGTCAAGAAACTGGTTTGTGAAGTCTTCACAACTATCTTACAAGCTCATTACAAAGACCTAGTGACACCTCTTATCAAATCTATAAAAATACTTTGAATACAGAAATATTTTGCTGTAAAAATTATTTTAATCTTTGCAGTGGAAGCAGAGTTGAGCAAGGACTGCCCTTCCAGGCCTCCACAGTGCTTCCTCTTGTTCAAAAGTTTACACTGTAGAGGCTACAGCAGAGCAGGCAGGTGACCACAAAGCCTCATCCCCCAAGTTTCATTGTGGCAAGTAGTTTACATTTTGTTTTGGATCTTAACCTTCTGTGGTCTCTTGTCAAGCCCCTCTAAAGAACGCAACCTAGCCGCAGCGGCTTGTGGTCGGGCACTACTTCCACAAGTTCTTTCGTGGTTGATTGACATGCACTTTTTCCTTTTGCTTTATTTGTTGCCTCTAAAGGAGTAAGTAAACTTCTTGAACTTGAGCTCTGATTCAGTTTTGAACCAGAATGGACGGAAGGTGGGTAAAGGTTGCAGACTGTAAAGGGTTAAGTTAGATGCCACGCTTCTGGTTCTATAATATGCAGATGCTGTCTCTCAACTTACCGTTACTTTTTATAAGTTCTCACCCTCACAGAAAGTTTATATGCAGTACTGATAAGCACCCTAAATATTTCATATTTCAATGTCGTTCCAATATGCTCAGTAGAACCTTCTTTAGCCATCATATACAGTGACGTACCAGTGTACATGTGGGCTTGGCAGAGTTATTATGTCATTTTTCTGCAATGAACCTGGTTGCCTGATGTAGTCTAAGCATGTTAGCGGAAGCTGTGTGTCATGCAGTAGGTGATGCAGTACATATTCATCCCTCTCATCACCTTTGCAATCTACAACTGCACAGTAAAACTGCAGTTCCCCTTTTCATTTGCAATAAAACAGCTTGCAAAGCCTACTTCACAGAAATTCATAAACTACACACACAATAAATGCTGTGTTCACACTATGCATATACTTGTTTTCAAATGCACAATTTCTTTCATAAAATCAAAGACCAAATGGAACACGAAGGTGAACACTGTGGTAGCAGTCGAGAAATGTTCATCAACATCCAATCTTGGGCTGCAAAGGAGGTTTTACTATTCCAGCGTATAACTGCAAACAAATGGCAGAAGCACAAAGCTGAGTTTTTATGTCGTTCCGAGGGGAGGAGGGGTATCACAGTGCCCCCCAACCTATAATGTCAACGTACAAGGCTGACTTTGCAAGCATCCCCCTCCCCAAATCGCAGCGTCTACCCGCCCTCATCTCTATTGTGTCTATGTTATGTATGGAGCTGACTTTCCGCCCACTCTCTTAGGCGAGTAGAAGACCGTCTGCACCCCCCCCACCCCCCGCTCACACAACACACCCATGTACTTCATAACATTTCAGGTGATAAGGTATCATAAATATTGTTACTATTGAAGACACAAATAAATTACTGCTGCAGACAATTTTCTGGTTACTGAATGCTTGGGATGTCTTTACACAACCAGCCAATAGCACGTGGGCACTTAGCAAAAACAAGTGCAGTCTCAATAGCCATGTTTGGCCAAGCAGTATTAGAGCATGACTCATTTTAGGGCGACACTGTACATTTTCTCGCTGCATGAAAATGAGCAATTTTCGGCACAAGTGTACCTGATTTTGAGCAAGTTAATTAATGCTGAAAAAGAATCTTTAGGGGAGCTAACTTTTTTTTACTTTTTATTTCAAGCATTAAAGCATTGGAATCCTAAAACTATAGAAAAAAAATGCCCTGAATAATTTAATATAACAGCTTTTCTACAGCCAGTTTCAAATCCATGTTTGGATACTTTATCCTCTATATCATAAGCCAGACGGTGATCACGTGGTAGCAGCTACATGGAGCACCTTGACACTCACTACCACTCATTCAGCATTTTTCTATGCTGAAACCTCACTTCTCTCAATGTGCATCGACATACAAGGTAAACAAAAGAGCCTGACTGAATGCCAGAATGTCGCAATCAACTAGCTCTCAGGTAATCACCTTTCAATCCTAATATTACGATAATGTGTATTTCTGAAAAGCAGGATCAAAGCTGGTTGTAGAAGGGCTACTATATTGAAATTACTCAGGCCTCTCTGGGGTTTGGCAGTATTTTGTCGGTGGTTTTGAGGCACCAGATCTTCACATAAAAAAGTGAACAGAAAAATACTTTTTCCACAAATTTCTATGAAGAGAGCTGTGCCTTTTGTACCCTTTTATGCATAAAATATTGATTACATGAACAGGCCCTAAGTTGTGAAATCTAAAATGATGCATTGCCGTAGGACCAAACATCTGTTACGGTAGATAAGTTGAGCAAACACACAAAACAAAATGCATCGATGTGCAGCTACTGTACGGCTGCGACATTAATGTCTATTATAGCTACATGTGTTCATTATATGCTTACTGATAAAGGCGAAGGTATATGAAGTTTACTAGTTAACGCTTTGTTATAGAACAGTTTAAAACCAAGGGTTTTCTTATTTTTGATTTGTTAAAACTTCTATTAAACAAACTCAGGAAATAAAACATGATTGTAATAAAAAATAGCAATGACTTTTCCTCTATTTTTTTTTTTTTAAGGGAAATCTAAGTTCTCTCGGTCCACTTCAAAGAAAATATTCAGAATATGTGCTGAAATAGACAGAGCATCAAAAAATACAGGACGGAAACAAAACGTAAAAGATAAAGTGGCTGGAAGAGCTAACCTATAAGGTTGATTGATATGTGGGGTTTAACATCCCAATACCCCATATGATTATGAGACATGCCATAGTGGAGGGCTCAGGCGATTTCGACCCCCTGGGTTCTTTAACGTACACCCGAATCTGAGCACACAGGCCTACAGCATTTTCGCCTCTATCGAAAATGCAGCCGCCACAGCTGAACCTATAAGGTTAATAATATAATATAATATATATATATATATATATATATGAGATTTAAAAGTGGGTGAAAAGATAACTTGCCGTGGGCAGGATCCGAACCTGCGATCCTTATTCTTTAACGAGGGTCTCGTACTGGCAGACTTAGTGCCTTTAGGTTGTATACGAGGGACTATTGGTCAGCTGTCCACTCGTAACAAGTTCACGTGCTACGTGACGCCAAACAGGCTCAAAAGAGTGTGCCACACTCGCTGCCATGGCTACTGGTGGCACTGACTGACACTTCCACGTTTAATTCACATATAAACCCTATATAGTGGATGGGGGGATAGCTGTCGTGGTAGCTCAGTGGTAGAGCATCGAACGCGTCATTCGAAGGTTCGGATCCTGCCCACGGCAAGTTATCTTTTCACCCACTTTTTTTCATATTTACATTAAAATTTGGTCTAATATCTTCCCTATACTTTCCTTGGCATTATTGTTTGTTAGATCTCATTAATATTGTGTAAAAACACAGAAAAACAAGCCCTTAGGTATACACTTCTTTCCTTATAAATATATATATATACGGGACACAAAAATATGTGCGGATATAATGCACTTGATCAGTGCCAACTTGCACGACAGCTGCACCCAGCTGTGGTGCAAATTTACAAGACAGGCATGGCATTAACTGTTATACTGAGAACATACAGTATGCAGCTAGGGCACCGCAACTGCCTACTTCAGCTTTTACTAGGTTGATATGAACCTAACACAAGAGGCAAAGATAGGAGGGGTATTTTTACATGCAAATTTTCGCGTCAGTTTAATGAATCGATTAAACGGCCGTCGCAGATTACATGGAAAAATCAGACATCTCCCGATCATAATTTTTTTTGGCAGATCAAAGATGGTTCTGGCCTTTGCATCTATATACGTGCCGGCGTGCTTACAGATACTAATCTGCGAGTTTGCTCAACTTTACGGAATTATATAGATCACCAAGGAGACCGCTGAGGTTTTCCTGTCTTGTCAGCTCTCGGCCGGAAGTAGGTTTGCGACTCTTTCGCCGCTTTTCTTTCGCGCGGAAGTGAACTGCAGACGACAGGAGGTATGCAACAGTGTGTTCTGCATTCCCTGAAGCTGAAATGCATTTCATGTCATTTTTTTTATCGGCGTAAATGCAAAGACTACCACAAGCTTATTTCAGGACGCCCTTACGCACCAGATGACAACGACCCATATTGGGACGCCCTGCTGTGGTGTTGCGCTGCTTCCAGCACTTGCCGTGCAAATTAGTTGGAATCACGATCGCCGAAAAACAACATAACGGGAGCTTGCTGCTGATCGTTGAGCGCCGTGCAAGGTCACAGTGGTCACAGTGCTCCGGTGCAGCACAGCTTACAGAAAAAGGGGCACCCGCTAGAGGTGCCCACTTTAGAGCGCGCGACAGACGCAATCACCACCACTGCCGCGCGCATGCACGAGCCGCACGAGCTTGAGCCCCTATGCGCTTTTCTTTTCACATGGCGCGCAAATGGAGAGGCCCGGCAGAACTTGGAACAACAAAGCGATCAGTACACAGCTTCCGACAAAACACGGACACCCACGGAGCAAGAAGTGAACTACCAAACAAAACAACGCAACGCACTGACAGGCGTGATAGTGGTGGTGATGGGGAATCCTATATTTGATCCGTAAGATGACTAAAATTTGCCGCAAGAAAGCTATCTTGAAGTATTTTATAGACATCTCGCAAGCACTTTATTTGTGCAACGTAGGACGTTTGGAAAGAGTTAGAGCTTTCGTAAGCAATAGCCCTATGCAAATGGCGCCAGCGGCTTGAAAAAGTGATTGCCGCCATAGAGAACTAGTAGCTGGTAGGTGTTCTGTGCATGTAGGCACCTGGCAGGGCGCTCAGTGGCTGGTGGTACATGAAATGGCCCGCCTGTGTATGTTGCTTCAGCTGTTTGCGGCACCGCTAACTGTAAGTTTCCGCCGAAGTCGTGTGTCGGGAGACTACTAGATTAACACTGTACTGTTGCAAAAAAAAATTGCAGAAATATACTGTGCTCTTGATCGTTAGATGCACTTAATTTTGCTGTAAATCGGTTGTGGCCACTGAGCTATATCACCTCGCAACAATTCCTTTTTATCCACGCACTGTAGTCCTTCTTTGGCGGCTCTGACTCCGCTCGTCGTGCGCGCGCTCTACTCATGTTTCACTCTTCGTGGTTTTCAGGTACTGGCGTTCGATTTGACCGGCGGCCTTTCGGCAGAGGAATGCCTCGCGCGTGGATTCAGGAAACCTGACCTAATATGCTCGTCGTGTAGGATTTTGCCCAATTTCAATCTCGACTTTCTCAAAGAAGACTGCAACAAATGCTGCGTGCAAACGGAGGAGCGAGTTACTGCAAAGGTAAATAACACGTGATGACGTGCCCTACCTTACGCTACGAATATTGTTCACGCCGGCGCTTCACTTAACGGTGTTCGTATCTTCTCACTTTGCTCTCTGAACGCAAAACCAGGCACTTGAAAGAAAGGTAGGAACTTGCCTGCATGTTTCTATTTCTTTTAGGTTGATATCTGACTAGTGAATCCGCTAATATCGTATGTCGTGTCGTTTCTATGCTCTGTGCATACGTGTCATTAGAGCTCGTCCAAGCTGTAGGCCCCGCGACATCACCTGTTGCTGTGGTGTCCGCAATATTGCAGGAGCAAAAAAAAAAGGGGGGGGGGGGGGTGTAAGCATGTTCGGCAGATAGCTGAATACAGCTACACAAAAGAGGCAATATGATGAAGACTAGAACTATCAGTTAATTGTACATGCTGTTATCTGCACACATTCAAGTTTGTAGTGCAAGTTGTGTGCACTTATTTCACAACTGCCTTCATTGTGGTGACAGTGACATATGCTGCCCCGCCACGGTGGTCTAGTGGCTAAGGTACTCGGCTGCTGACCCGCAGGTCGCGGGATCGAATCCCGGCTGTGGCGGCTGCATTTCCGATGGAGGCGGAAATGTTGCAGGCCCGTGGGCTCAGATTTGGGTGCACGTTAAAGAACCCCAGGTGGTCGAAATTTCCGGAGCCCTCCACTACGACCTCTCTCATAATCATAGGGTAGTTTTGAGACGTTAAACCCCACAAATCAATCGATCAGTGACATATGCTGTCGCTATGGTTATCGCTATGTAGTTACCACCTTAAAGTGATATTTCTGCCTCATGATTTTATACTTGCTTATTATATGATGAACTAGTGTATTCTTCTGATTCATCATATATTGTTGCTTATTATGTTCTTGCTCATATGTTTTATTTAAACTGCAGAGATATGCACGCGCTGTGCTGGAAGTATGTGCATGCAAGTTTGGACATATGCCTCAGATTGAAGGTAATGGAGTTTCACTCTTTCCATAAAAGTCACATGTCAAAGTATTTTGGCCAATTTTTTTCAGTGTTAATTCAAGAGGGGCTTCATTGTACAGAAGCATATCACTCTGAACCACAAGCACTGTCATAGGGCTGCATGTATTATCTTGTTATAAGCAGAGGCGTGTGCATGGGGGGGGGGATTAACTTTTGCCTCCCTTCCCCCCCCCCCCCCCCCCCCGAAGGGGAGCCCTGCACATGCTTATGGCCTTAATTTCTGAAAAAGCTGCACAGACAAAAATAATTTTAGCAGAACCAATCTCTTGGTGAATTTTGAGATCAATATACTTAGCATTACCACCGTTACTGAAATGTCATGTATTAGACCTTATTCCACAGAGCTCCTTGTTCACATGTCTCTAGGGTGATTCAGTGACATAATCATAGGCATGTGCACGAGGTGGGGGGGTGGGGCAAAGCCAGCCTATACATGGACAATGTGGCCTGTTCATTCAGGGCACTGACACCAATATCTTGGGTCAAGTGGATACAGTTTCTTACAATGATACATAGAGGGAATTTTGGCACTACTGTCTATGAGAGTTTCCTAAAGGGCGCTGTGCCTTGAAGAGAATGATAGTATGTGCAAAGCTTGTATTGGCTGCAATGGCCTAAATCATCTGGTGGTCAGAGGGGTCCTGACCCCTCCTTGTGTTCAGGCTGGAGGAAACACCCCTTGCAAGTGTCCACCCTTACGATTTATCTTACAAATGCCTCGTTTGTATTTCTTGACAGTCAAGGACGAAGCACTCACTGTAAAGCACTTTCAATGAACAGAAACTATAAGTATGTAGGCCCATGTGCTCAGATTTGGGTACACATTAAAGAACCCCAGGTGGTCGAAATTTCCGGAGCCGTCCACTACGGCGTCTCTCATAATCATATAGTAGTTTTGGGACGTTAAACCCCCCCCCCCAAAAAAAAAAAAAATCGGAAACTATAAGTACTTCTAGCTGAAAATGCACGATGGGGAATACTTTTATGTGTTAGTGCGAAAAGTGCGACCATTTCATTTCTTATTTCAACTCTCATGACGAAGCTGTAAAAATGCTAGAGCCTGCTTACAAGTTGCTTATTGAAACTAGCTTCACCATGTAATGTTGCTTATAGTACTATTGGCTGCCAGTACTATTTTTTTCTTTCTAGCTGGGTACAGATGCTCGTGCACATATGACAGTTTAAACTGACAGTTTAGACAAAATGGCCACCATTACATTATGTGTGTCCACCCTTGTGGTCTTTATGGATTGACGCCACTGGTTGGCTGGTGCTGAAGATAGACAACAAACTGTGGAAGAGTGATGTGACTGAGCAGGGGTTTACAGGCTGTCACCCAGGCACCGAGGAAGGAGAAACTGTTGCGAGGCTTCTTGCTCACAAAAACAACGCTCATTTTATTTACGTATTTTAGTAAGTTACCAAACTAGGCTTAGAGACGTGCCTTTACACAAAACATGAAAGGGCCAGAGAAGGCCAGAGAGCTCCAGCGCACTCTCGATGTGCTCCTGTTAGACCTTCAGTCAGTGCACGCGCCTTTAAACCAGCGTTCTTTCAGAACGCATACAGTGTTCTTGAGGACCGCAGGCCGCGTAGATCAGGTAAACAAGGGAGCGTTCTTTGCAGGCCATGCCCTTGCTTTGCTAGTTACAACAGCCTGTCCACCGCCTGAAAGAGGTCGCGTAAGGGCTGTAGTAGCACTACACCCTGAAGTGGCCGTTCTTTGTACGTCATCCGTAGCCATTGTCCGTACTTGTCACACCAGTTGTCAACTGCAACATACATCGCACAGCAGATGTTACGGTTCGCGCACTTCAGTGTCGCAACCATCCATCGTATAACACACACTTGGTCACAGCAGGCAGTGTCCACAGCTGCAGAGCCCCGGACACTGCTGCCTGCTCATTCCCTGGTCTATGATGGCACAAAGCAACGCACTCAACCCAATACAAACACTGAAAACCCTGAGCTTTCCCAAGAATGACCGGGTGTCAACTTACTTCAAGGCTCCTTCCTTAACTTTTTGCGCAACAGAAGCTTACACTAAGGTGGTAATCAGTTAACGTGACGCTCGAGTGATTGCATTCCAAAATAGACAAGGGAAACTTATCACATGCTCGACAGACCCTAGACAGAAAACCTCCTTGAAGTGCGTTCTTTCATGTGTGTCTGAAAATTGACACGAAAAGAAGCAGACGCTTCCAGAATTTCTGTTCACGGTGCAGAAAAGAGTGGATCTGAACCTAAGGATTTGTCTACGGACACTCGGAAACTCCTTCCTTTAGCTCAAAGTTCGTTTGACACAACATCCCTGAGATAGTGACCTCTGCAGCCAGCGACACCACAAAACACGCATCAGCTTCCTTTTTATTGAATAAGCCTTGCAACGGCAAATCGTTATCTACTATGGCACTTTCTCCAGCTCCATCACTATATTGCACAGAACAATTTTATTTAGGCCATCCTGCCCATCTACATCACCACATATTGCCAATATCCCCTCCAACTGTACATCTGCTTTTTTGACAAGTGCTTCTGCACCTTTTCACTGCTCAGTCATGCATTCAATGTTTTTCGCACCTGGTGTATCATAAATCCCTTCGCTATCTTTATCCTGACCACTTGCACAATTTTCATGTTTCGCCAGCACAATCTAAAGCTTAGAAAATCGAAATTGCTCCAGCCACAGTTCAAATAGAGCCCGACGTTTCGAGACCGACTCGGTCCCTTCCTCAGGGGGTGACTGTCTTGGTCATGGAAGTGTCGTCGCGTCGTGTTCTCTCACCACGGCTCCGGTTTTCCCTTTCCACCACGTTTCGGAGACCGTGAACGTACACCGAAGGCATTGTTCCCAGCGAGCGGTTCACGTTGGCAGGCGTATGCTGAATGTGCCAAGACTCGAGCAAGAGCCTCTTTCCCAAATTCCGTTCTGTTTCAATAACAGACGCGCCGTCTAAGTCAATTTTATGGTCGTGCTTCTCGCAGTGCTCCGCCAGAGCGTAGCTACGTTGCACTTCCATCTTCCTGACGTCGTTCTTGTGTTGGCGCATTCTTTCCGGGAAACACTTGCTCACGCCTATGTAGCTGGCTGGACACTCGGAACACGACACTTTGTAGACAACGCCCGGGTGTAGCTCCCTCGGAGGACGGTCTTTCGGCCGCGGTAGCAAGCGAGCGAGCGTCGAAACAGGTTTATGGATTACCGTGACCCCGGCTTTTCCTAGGACTCTCGAGATGCCCGGCACATATGGAATGGCGACGCGGTTGTTTGTCGTCTTCGTTTCTCTCGTGTGCGGTGGTGTGGCCAGGGCGGAAAGGGGGTCGGGCGGTGTGTCGCTTGCAGGTGTCTTTCCGCGGTGCGGTGGTTGTCGTCTCGACAAACGGCGTGACGCCCGGCGGATGAACGCTTCTGTGTAGCCATTCCTTCGTAGCTCGGCGACAATCCTCTTTTCTTCTTTCTTCCTCTCACCTTCCGACGTGCAGATTACTCGTGCACGTGAAAGGAGTGCCAAAACCACTGAAGCTTTGTGGGCAGTTGGATGACAGGACGCAAAATGCAAATACCTGCCGGTGTGAGTTGGCTTTCTATACACCGAAAAGGTCATGCGCTCGCCTTGTCGTCTGACTAAAACATCGAGAAACGGAAGCGCCCCGTCTCGCTCTCGTTCCACCGTGAACTGTATCGCTTGTTCGATGGAGTTTAGATGTTCGAGGAAGCTGTCTACTGCTGCCTTCTTTATTATGCAAAAACAGTCATCCACGTACCTCACAAATACTTTCGGCCTGTCAATAAAGGAGCCCAGTGCCGTCTCTTCTATGTGTTCCATTGTGAGGTTCGCAGCCGTAACGGAGATCGCCGCTCCCATCGCGGTCCCGCTGGCTTGTCTGTAGAAGCTCCCGTTGACGCTGAAATACGTCCCCTTGAGGCAGTATTCCAGTAGGCAACACAGTTCGTCGACGCCCAGGCAGGTTCTTTCATCCAAGAGCTCGTCTTGGTTCAACGCTGCTCGTGCGCTAGATACCGCTAGTGCTACGGGCACACTGGTGAACAGGGATACGACGTCGAACGAGACGAAGCACTCATCGCTGCTCACGATCGCATCTCTCATGCGCTCCAAGAAGTGGCTGGCGTCGCGTATGTCACGCTCGCGTATGTATGACGTTTGTCGTCTCGACAAACGTCACGCCGTTTGTCGAGACGACAACCACCGCACCGCGGAAAGACACCTGCAAGCGACACACCGCCCGACCCCCTTTCCGCCCTGGCCACACCACCGCACACGAGAGAAACGAAGACGACAAACAACCGCGTCGCCATTCCATATGTGCCGGGCATAAGTGAACAGCTCTCGAGAGTCCTAGGAAAAGCCGGGGTCACGGTAATCCATAAACCTGTTTCGACGCTCGCTCGCTTGCTACCGCGGCCGAAAGACCGTCCTCCGAGGGAGCTACACCCGGGCGTTGTCTACAAAGTGTCGTGTTCTGAGTGTCCAGCCAGCTACATAGGCGTGAGCAAGTGTTTCCCGGAAAGAATGCGCCAACACAAGAACGACGTCAGGAAGATGGAAGTGCAACGTAGCTACGCTCTGGCGGAGCACTGCGAGAAGCACGACCATAAAATTGACTTAGACGGCGCGTCTGTTATTGAAACAGAACGGAATTTGGGAAAGAGGCTCTTGCTCGAGTCTTGGCACATTCAGCATACGCCTGCCAACGTGAACCGCTCGCTGGGAACAATGCCTTCGGTGTACGTTCACGGTCTCCGAAACGTGGTGGAAAGGGAAAACCGGAGCCGTGGTGAGAGAACACGACGCGACGACACTTCCATGACCAAGACAGTCACCCCCTGAGGAAGGGACCGAGTCGGTCTCGAAACGTCGGGCTCTATTTGAACTGTGGCTGGAGCAATTTCGATTTTCTAAACTTTTCTACCCAGCCAGACAGATTGCTGTCAAAATGTTTACG